GGATTACAGGCGTGAGCCACCAGTGCCCTGCTGAAAGGCCATGAGACTCCTATCTCTAATAAACCACTAGAAAACCGGAAGTGGTACTGTGGCTCAAGTGGTAGAGCGCTTGCCTTGAGCTGAAGAGCTGAGGGAAAGCGTCCAGGCCCAGAGTTCAAGCCCCATGACTGACCCAAAAACCCCAAAAATCAAACTAGTAGAGAAAAGCTGCTTTTAAGTGGAACATAGTTGTTAAAACTGGATACCTGGGGCTGGGAATATGCTCAGTGGTAGACTTCCTGCCTAGCATGCATTAAGCCCTCGGTTTACCTCTTCACTACCACACACTCAGAAAGAGCTGGAAGTAGCACTATGTCTCAAGTTGTGGAGTGCTAGCCTTGAGCCAAAGAAGCCCAAGGACAGTGCCCAGACCCTGAGTTCAAGCCCTGGTACTGGCAAAAGCAGAATAAAACAAAACAAAAAACCACCAAAACACACAAAACTGATGATAAATAAGGGACCAAAATGAATACCAAATGCTTTGTCCTGTCTCAGGGTGTAGTTCAGTGGAGCAGTTTCCCATCCAGCACTGCAAACAAACAGCCCAACCAGAACGCCTTCTCCAATTTGTTACTGGTGGCTGTCCTTGGCCTGAAGGATCAGATGGTGATCTGCCATTGTCCTTGGTCCTCTTCTGCAGCCTCTGTATTTTCACAGTATTCTTATATTTCTTATATGATAACAGCATGCATATAGCTCAAAAAAAAAAAAAAAGAAAAAACCCGAATGAATAAACATACCATAATGATTGCTACGCACCCGTCTGCGCCTGTGCCTGTGCCCGGGGCCCGCCTGCTCCGATTCATGCCAGCTCTGATCTCTGGAAAACAGTACTTGGTAACGGAACATACAGGCCCTGAGACCGAACAGTCTACCCCTGGAATATTGTTAAGATAACAAATAGCTTCATGATTATGTAGATTATTTTTTACACTGATATGCCTGTCTCTGAGGACTCATACCCGTTGGCTCTGTCTGCTTCTTTCCCTCTCTATCTCAAGGCAAGTCCAAAACCTGTCTGTCCATTCTTTTATGCTTCAGAACACATCTGTAACAGAATGTATTTGTATTATGCGGTGATACTTTTTAGACGTTTGACAAAACTTACAATAATTGGTGGTACTCATTAGTACCTGATTCATTGGAACTACCTGACTGAGAAATTACTACCCCCCTGGGCCTGTCTGAGGCAAGACACCACCCAGCCGGCCTGGTGCACGTGTGTGTATGTGCATGTGTGCGTCTGATGCATGTGTCTGCATGCGTGTGTGTGCATGTGTGTGTGCATGTGTATGTGTGCGCGTGTGCGCGTGCATGCGTGTGCATGTGTGCATGTGCATGCGTGCGTGGGCTTGTGCTCTTCAGGCTCTCTCCTCCCTTTGTCATGTCATACAATCTGTATCCATTGGGCAGATGGCTCAATTGTATTTGTGTCTGTATATCCTGCACACAGGAAGTTATCTTTGAAAGCCTGGTTACATTTAAATACAAATTTGAGGTCTGAGAAAGTCTCAGGAGTAATCTTGGTGTTGCTTCCTATCATATGAGTAGCTACGGAGATGTGTGCTTCTTTGATCCACTGTAGGGAAGAAGGAGTATTGAGGCAGGGATGTGGGCCTGAAGTGTGTCTCTTGAATGCAGCCGTCCGTGAGAGCAGCATACTCGGTGATAGCTAGCCTGGTGCGGTGAGGGCATTCTCACACAAACGCTAGTCGTGTGTGCTGTCTCCTGGCATCGTCTCTGTCCTGTGAGTGCCTCGGTCGTGGTGAAGGCCGTCCCCTGGGCTGAAGGGGAAGCATGGCTGCCTTTTGGCATGTCTGCCTCACGTGAGTTCTGGGTGTGAACACGTCTTCCACATCCAGGTGAACAAGGTATTTGAGCCTGAAGTCTCGGTGTGAACCATGATCAGGCACTGCCCTGCCTGATAAAGGGAAGGCAGCCCCGGGGTTCTTTCTAATCAGTGGTGCCATTTGCCCCTCTCCCTTCCCCACCCCATCACTGTAGTATGACTCAGCATCCCTGTCGGACTCCAGAAGTGCTGAGTCATGTGGGTTCTGTTATCTGCTCTCTGGCACATCTTCACAGACCCCACAGTGACAGGCTCTACTCTCGGCTTGGGCAGATACACCTGCCTGCTGACTTTGGCCCCTGAAAGATTCTCGAGGGGGAAGGGCCACTCTCACCTGCTCCTTTGACCTTGTCCCTACTCTGGTGTAGAGGGGCACAGGGTCAGGGACTGACGGGCACACTAACCCTGAGTGTGGATTCCAGTCCAGGCCACACAGTTAGCAGCCTGTGGCAATGTGGCTGTTACGACTGCATTCTTACATACCACAGCCACTCACACCCAGCAGTGCTCAGGCCAGGCTGTTCTCAGCACGGTTGGATTAGTTTCCCCAACTCAGTCATTGGTGGTTCTTCCTCAGATTAGGACTTGTGACCCAGGATCCCATAGCTTTGGACCTGGGCCCTGCTTACATTTCTGACACGGTGGAGATGTTTCCTACATGGGGCCCCCACAGGGTCATCTCTGCAGCCCCCTGGGCAGCGGTTCCCGACAACAGAGGATGTGACTGACACCAGCACTTCTGTGGATGCCTTCAGAGGGCACAGGGAGGTTCCATGCTAGTGGCCTGGAGAGCAGCCTGAGCACGTAGAGTGGAGAGGCTTTCTTCATGTTTTAAGTTACCGTGTGTTAGGTCTTCTTCAGCTCTGTGTCTAGCTGTTTGAGTCTGTGTAGGGCTTCTTCCGCAGCCGGTGCGGACCCGTCCGTCACCAGCCGTCGGCACAGCCTGCCCAGTGTCTTCCGCAGGCCGGTGCGGGCCGTCCGTCACCAGCCGTCGGCACAGCCTGCCCAGTGTCTTCCGCAGGCCGGTGCGGGCCGTCCGTCACCAGCCGTCGGCACAGCCTGCCCAGTGCACTGCCACTGTGCTTCTTCCGCAGGCCGGTGCGGACCCGTCCGTCATCAGCTGTCTGCACAGCCTGTCGAGGCGCATTGCCACTGTGCTGCAGCATGAGGAGCGCCGCTGCCAGTACCTCACGCGGGAGGCCAAGTTGATCCTGGCACTCCAGGACGAGGTGTCCACGATGGCGGAGGGTGAGTGCGGCGGTGGGCGAGCACCGTCTGGGCCGGCGTGGGCTTTGCGGTGGTGTGGAAATCTTTGGAGTAGAGCCAGGTAGTGGCTCTGGACTCTTAATTTTGAAGAAGCATGAGCATTAAAAGATGGTCCCATGAACTGGCCCTCTGTTTCTAGGAACACTTGTCACAAAGGGTGCCCGAGTCTAGAGAAGCACTGTGCCTCCAGAGACCTCCCCAGGCCACAGAGCACATCCATCAGGGGTGAACTACAGCATTGGAGGAACCTGGGATGAGGGACTGTCCCGATGTGCAGGTCGGAAACTGGTTCAGGAGCTATGTGGTTTTCCTTTTGGACTGATAGTGCCCTGCATTGGAAGATTCCCAGAAGCCCAGTTTTAGATCCACTTGCCTGAATTTATGTGCCTAAATTGATTTCCCAACTGGAAACATTCTCCTTCCTCAAAAACTGATGTGTGGTCACATTTCCCACAGGACTAGCACTTCTTACTAGTATAGGTCCTGCTGGACGTGTCCTGGGATAGGGAGGCTTGGGAAAGTTGAGGTGGGTGGGTTCGATTCTTGGCTTTTAGCCAAATTGCTGGAGCATCTAACTAGTTACGAAAAATATCCTTTGTTGGTGGATCACTGGACAATGTTTGGCATACCCAAAGGTGCCAGAGTATGGAGGGATCCTGCTAGCTAGCTCTACCCCACTTTGCTAAGGCTAGCAGCTCCCTACAGAATAGAAAGTGAGAAACACAACTGAAATCAGACTTTGTAGCTACAAGTAAAAGCAGTGATTGTCATACTCAAATTAGCAGAAAAGAAACAAGCTGGTGGCTCACACTTATAATCCTAGCTGTGCAGGAGGATGAGATTTGAAGCCAGCCTGGGCAGAAGAGAAAGTCTGTAAGAGTCCATCTCCAAAATAACAAGCAAAAAATAGGCTGGAGGTATGGCTCAGATGGTTGAGTGCCAGCTAAACTAGCAAACCAGGCAAGCACCAAACTCCATGACTGCCAAAAACAACTTCCCCTCAAGAAAAATAATAAAAACTGTATAATTCAAGTGCATTTTCAATAAAAATTCACATTTTTGGTTTGAAAATAAAATGTTAAAATTTGTAATGTATATGCGAACACTGTTATATATTACAGACTGTGATAGACAATTTGCTCCAGGAAAGTTAGAATGAACTTGTGACTTAGAAACTATGTAATCACTTAATCACAAAAAAAAAAAAAAAAGAACTTCGGGGGAGGGAGGGAGGGGATGGTAGGGGGAAAACAATGGAGGGGCTAACAATGTTCAAGAGGAAGTATACTCATTACCTCACTCATGTAACTGTAACCCTCTGTATAGTATCTTTACAATAAAAAATTAAAAAAAAAAGTAACAACAAAAAAAATTTGTAATGTATGACTGAAAGTAGTAGTAGACTACTTGCTTAGCATATTCCATGTTCTGGGTTCAATCCCCAACACCACACACATATAAAGAGATTTTCTGGGGTCGGAGACATGGCTCATGTGGTATAGAGTACTACTCAATGAGTGAAAGCAAGTTTGAGTCCTGGTCTCAAACAAAAAAGAAAAAAAGACTTTCTGTTTTGGTCAGTTATTAATTATAATTATGATAATAATTCATTAAAAAAAAGATTCTCTTAAAGCCAGGCACTGGTGGCTCACGCCTGTAATTCTAGCTATTCAGGAGGCTGAGATCTGAGGATCCCAGTTTAAAGCTAGCCCTGGCAGGAAAGTCCATGAGACTCTTAGCCTGCAATTAACCACCAGAAAACCTAAGTGGTGCTGTGGCTCAAAAATGGTAGAGTGCTAGCCTTGAGCAAAAGAAGCTCAGGGACAGCCCCTGTTCCTCAGGTTAAGCGCCATGACTGACTGGGGGGGAAAAAGAAAGATTCTCGTTAGAAGGTGAGACTTTTGGGGGCTGAGAAGGTGGCTCAGTGGTAGAGTGCTTGCCTAGCATGCATGAAGCCCTGGGTTCAATTCCTCAGTACCACATGCACAGAAAAAGCCAGAAGTGGTGCTGTGGCTCAAGTGGTAGAGCGCTCGCCTTGAGCAAAAGAAGCTCAGCGACAGTGCCCAGGCCCTGAGTTAGGGTCCCAGGACTGGTTAAAAAAAAAAAAAGACTTTTTATCACTAGAAGTGAAAATTTCAGTTGAAGTATAATTTTTTTTGTTAGAGATTGATGGAGAAGGATTAATACAGCATTTCAATCTTTCTCTGTGTGTGCGGGTCCTGGGGCTTGAACTCAGCCCAGGCGCTGTCCCTTACCTATCACTCTACCACTTGAGGAACAGCCCTGCTTCCAGCTTTTTTGGTACTTAACTGGAGACAAGAGTCTCATGAACTTTTTTTTTTCTCGGCTGGCTTTGAACAGGTTTGAGCCACCACCAGTGCTAGGCCAATATTGCCATCTTAAAAATGAATTGCATTATCTTGGCACTAGTGGCTCATACTTGTAATCCTAGTTACTCAGGAGGCTGAGATTGGAAAGCTGTGGTTCAGTACCAGCCTGGGAGACTCTTGTATCCAATTAACCAGCTGAAAGTTGCAAGTGAAGGTATAGCTCAAGTGGTAGAGTGCCAGTCAGTAGAAAGGGCCAAGAGTATGAGGCTCCAAGTTTAAGTCCCAGTACTGGGAAAACAGTACATTCACATACACATAGGAGGAAGATTGAGGTGTAGCCTGGAAATACTTGATCACTAGGACAGAAGATGGAGTCTCAGACAGTCTGTCTGGAGTGACCGGTGAAATTGCCTACTCCTGTCTGTGAGGTTGTAAGGCCATGTATAGGTGGTCAAACCAGCTTAAGTCTGATTTTAATTCACAGGGATGCACATATTTTGTGAAAGAAATGAGAGTTTCCTTTTGTTTGGATTAAAGACATTCAAAGCTTTTTGGAATTGGACTGGATTTAAGGATAGTGTTTCCTTGCTTTGGAGCTCTCATGTCCTTCTCTGCTGTGATTCTTGCAGGAGGTGAAGGGCCTCAGTCTCCGTTCCATCACATCCTGCCCAAGTGCAAGCTGGCCAGGGACCTCAAGGAAGCTTATGACAGGTAAGGCAAATGGACGTGCTCATTGAGCCTCTTGTTCCTGGTCCAGTCCCCTATGCTGGGCACTGCTGCAGTGTGTCTCTGCTGAGTAGTGCGGTGATTGGGGTGAGAACAGACCAGACAGGGAGGAACAGCTGTGTGGTCCTTCTAAAGAGAAGTGACCTTGGTATACATTTTTCACATGATAGTTTCCACCTCAAGCATCTCCAGGCCTCTCCTCCCCCTTCCAGCACTTTGGTTTGAACTCAGGGTCTTATGCTTGCTAGGCAAACAGTACCACTTGAGCCACAAGCCAGCCCCAGACTTTTCTTAGAAAAATGAACCTTAAGTTGTTTGAGAGCCTGAAAGTATTTTTTCTTTTTTTGTCAGTCATGGGGCTTGAACTCTGGGTCTGGGCACTGTCCCTCAGCTCTTCAGCTCAAGGCTAGTGCTCTACCACTTGAGCCACAGCACCACTTCCAGTTTTCTGGTGGTTTATTGGAGCTAAGAGTTTCATGGGGTTTCCTGCCAGGGCTGGCTTTGAACCAAGATCCTCAGATTTCAGCCTCCTGAGTAGTTAGGATGACAGGTGTGTGCTCCCCCTCCCTTTTTTTTTTTTTTTTTAACTGACCAATGCTTTTATTGTTGTTCCAGTATCCTCTCTTTGCTGGGTGCTGGTGGCTCACGCCTGTCACCCTAGCTACTCAGGAGGCTGAGATCTGAGCATCACGGTTTGAAGCCAGCTCAGGCAGGAAAGTCCATGGTCTTAGGGACAGCATCTAGGCCTTGAATTCAAGCCCCACAATCAACACAAGAACAGAAGCAGTGACGCTTAGTGAGATTGGAGATTAGAGAGGGATATTCCAAAGAAATCCTTTTGAATTTGTTACTTTTATCAAAAGCTGAGTAGAAGGCTGGGAAGGTGGCTCAGTGTAGAGTGCTTCCCCTAGCATGCATGAAGCCCTGGGTTTGATTCCTTAGTACCACATACACAGAAAAGGCTGGAAGTAGTACTATGGCTCAAGTGGTAGAATGCTAACCTTAAGCAAAAGAAGCTCAAGGACAACACCCAGGCCCTGAGTTCAAGCCCCCAAACTGGCAGAAAACACATTTAGTAATTGGTTAGTTAGGTTTGGGAGGGATTAGTTTCTTGAGTTCCCTGTATATACTGGATATATTGCTGGTAAATATTTTTTCCCAGTTAGTTGGTTGTTATAGCTTGGTTGCTATAGCTGTAGCTGTGCAGAAACTTTTTTTTTTTGTCGGTCGTGGGGCCTGAACTCTGGGCTTGGGCACTGTCCCTGTGCTCTTCAGCTCAAGGCGAGCGCTCTGCCGCTTGAGCCACAGCACCACTTCTGGTTTTCTAGTGTTTTATTGGAGATAAGAGTCTCACGGACTTTTCTGCCCAGGCTGGCTTTGAACCATGATCCTCAGATATCAGCCTCCTTAGTAGTTAGGATAACAGGCATGAGCCACTGGCGCCTGGCTAGAAACTTTTTATTTTAAGGTAGTCCCATTTGTCGAGTCTCTCTCCAATTTGTTGTGATCCTGGGACTCTGTTCAGGAAGTTCCTGCCTGTGCCTATAAGTTCAAGTATCTCTCCTACTGTCCTGCAGTAGTTTCAGAGATTTCAGGTTTGATGTTAAGGTCTTTAATTCATTTTGAGTTGATGTTGGTGCATGGTGATAGGCTGGGGTCCACTTTTAGTTTTCTGCATGTGGCCGCCCAGTTTTCCCAGCACCAGTGGTTGAAGAGGCTGTGTTTCTTCCCCTGTATGTCTTTGGCTCCTTTGTCAAATATCAGCTGACGGTAGGCATGTGGTTTTATTTCTGGATCTTCTATTCCATTGGTCTTCGGGTCTGTTTTTATGTCAGTATTATGCTGTCTTTGTTATTATGGCTCTACCGTAGAGTTTGAAGTCCAGCTTCGAGATCCCTCCTGTGTTGTCTTTTTTGCCTAGAATTGTTTTGGCTATTCTAGGTCTTTTGTTGTTCCATATGAATTTTTGGACTGTTTTCTGTATTTCAGAAACGTACATCGTTGCAATTTGCATTGAATTTGTATGTTAATTTTGGAAGTATTGCCATTTTCACTATATTAAGTCTGCCTATCCAAGAGCATGGAAGGTCTTTCCATTTCTTGGTGTCTTCTGTAATTTCTTTTTTTAAGTTTTTATAGTTTTCATTGAATAGTTCTCTTACATCTTTGGTTAGGTTAATTCCTAAATATTGTGAATGGGGTTGCTCCCTTTATTTCCCTCTCTGCTGTACATTGTCAGTGTACAGGAAGGTGTCTGTATGGTATTTTCACAATTTTAAAAAAAGGAAAAAACAACAAAAAAACACCTGTGGGTAAAGTTTTGTTTGTGGCAGTGTATGCCTGTGATTTTAGCATCAGGAGATTGTGAGTTGAGACAGTCTGGGCTATATAGCAAGAACTTGTCTCAAAACAAGTTTTGTTTGAAGTTTTGATATAGGCCTTTTGGTCCTACCCCTTCCTCTTAGACAGCCTGGCTCGGTGGAGAGCAGGGCAGAGGGATGGGGTGCAGAGGACAGGTCTGTCCTGCGCAGGCCGGCTCCTGCCTAACACAGGTGGTAGGAAGAGCAATGACCAGAGCTGAGGCCAAAACTCGACTTTGCAGTCAGGTGAGTCATGTTGTTAGGAGAAGGCTGGAGGCTGACGGGTGGAGTGTGGGATAAGCTTGTGCGGCAGCTGTCTGGTGTGGGGGGTTGAACCCCTGCCGTCCGTGCCCAGTCATCCTGTCAGGACACAGGGCTCTGGCAGAAGCGTCTATCTGCTGCTGCAGGTTGGGTTGGGCTTCTCTGGTTGTGCAAGTGTTGGATAAGCCTGGGGGCCAGGATTCCTGCAGAGCTTTTTCCGACCAAACAATGAAGTACCCTGTTAATAAATAAAGGCAGAAACTTAACGGGAAAAATTTCAGGGCATAAACTCTGAGAAAACAAGGACAAACCTTTCTTTTCCCTTCCTGTTGACAGATTTGAGTGTGGCTTCTGGCTTAACTTCTGACCATGTGGGAAGTTCTGTGGAGGTCATTGTTTGCACAGAGATTGCTACCGCAGTCTGAGGCCTCCTTCCCCCCCCTTCCCATCTCTGTGTGTGGGTGCTGTCAAGGGAGCAAGGGACCTCGGTGCCCGGGCAGACCTCTCACGATGGGATCGTTGACTCCTGGGAGGTCAGGCAGTTTCTCAGGGTTTGATGCGAGCTTTCTGCCATAAAAATCTTGGCTACAGAGGGTTCAGCTCTGTGGGTCTCTTGTTTTCTCAGTCATACTTAGCATCTAAAAGAAGTGTTTGTTCCAAAATCTTGATAGTCACTGAACTATCTCGTGTGTTTCTTGGGAACACCCTTCACCTGCCAGCCCTACTCATGGCCCTTCTTCTCAGCAGTTCTGAGTCTCGGGGAGTGGCAGGCATGGATTTTCTAATATCTCTGAGGAAAAGGTAACAGGGTTGTTTGGAGGGGCATATTTCCTTTCCCCGTCTCTTGTTCCTGCCTGAGAGTAGCTCAGAGCTGGTGTTTAGGGAGCTTCAGGGAAGAGGCTGTGGGAATCATGTCCAGCTAAATGCCAGTGGCTCATTCCTGTAGTCAGTCGTAGCTACCTAGGAGCCTGAGATCTGGGGATCTCAGCCAGAAAGGTCTGTGAGATTCCATCTCCAACTAACCCGAGACATGCTAGACTGAAGGCATAGATCAGGTGGTAAAATCCCAAGTGCAGAAAAGCTAAAGGAGCGTGACAGACCCTGAGTTCAAGCCCCTAAGCCAGCACACACACACACACACACACACACAAGAGAAAGGAAGAGATCCAAGAGAACTGACTTTAGTGGGCACCACGGGGGAGTCAGCTCTCTCTCCCATGGACCTCCACACAGCTCCTTCCTCCTGGCTGCGGCTCCCCTGGGAGCAGCCTACAGGGACACATGTCCAGTACGGAACTGTGGTCAAGGAAGGGGCTTCCTGGGCGAGAGCGTGCCCATAGTGCCTAGCACAGTTCTTAGAGCCCTCTCCTCCATTTGTAACACTTCCCAGAGCCACCATGTGCCTGGTGTTTGACCACGGAAGCCTGCAGGTCTGTTTCTGATGAGCCCGTTGTGGCCAGTGTTGGGCAGGAGTCAGGTGTTGGGATAGGGTGCTTGAGTTGAGGCTGAGGAATGAAGGGACCCTCGGGTATCTGAGGGTGGGGCAGGAAGTGAGATGGGGAGGCATGGGCAGGTCGTGTAGGGCTGCTCCCTGTGTGGCAGAGCCTCGAATGGGCTGCCCAGGTGGGAGCCCTGGGCTGCGAGGAGCGTAGACCCTGAGGTTGCCAGGCGTCAGCGCCCAGCGCAGCTCCGGCTGGGCCCGGGGAGGTCTGCCTTGTGTGCATGCCTGCTGGTACAGCCTACAGGGTCTACTCATTGTCTGGCCTGGAATGCGGAAGAAGTGAGGAGCCAGGTGCGGCCTGAACGTAGTCTGGAGTCCGAAAGACCTGAGTTGGCCTCACTGAGAGAACAGGGAACGAGAGGCTCTCTCCGTGGCAGTGGAGTCTTGGGGCTGGTTCGACAGCTGCGTGGTGTCCACAGGCCTGGCACCAGATGCACAGCTAGCACCTGGAGGGGGTCGGGGCGGCGGCACTTTGTGTCTTGTTTTTTCCTCTTTTCTGGTGCTGGTACTCGTGCTTGAACTCGGGTCCTTCCATTCTTTCTTGGCTTTTTCACTCAATTTTGCTGCTCTCCCACTTGAGCTATACCTCCACTTCCAGCTTTTTTATTTGTGGGTTAAAATTGGAGATAAAGAGTTTCATGGGACTTTTCTTTTCTTTTCTTTTCTTTTTTGTGGGTCCGGTCGTGGGGCCTGAACTCTGGGCCTGGGCGCTCTCCCTCAGCTCTTCAGTTCAAGGCTAGCGCTCTACCACTTGAGCCAGAACACCACTTCTGGCTTTTTTCTTTTTGCTTATGTGGTGCTGAGGAATCGAACCCAGGGCCTCAGGCATGCAAGGCAAGCGCTCTACCACTGAGCCACCTTCCTAGCCAGTCATGGGACTTTTCTTACCAGATGGGCTCGGAACCATGATCCTCAGATTTCTGCCTCCTAAATAGTTAATGTTATAGGCATGAGCCATTAATGCCCAGCTCGCTTTTATTGTTTGCTTGTTTGTTTCAAACAGTTATAACATTCTAGGGGATTTGACAGCCCCCCTCGCCCTTACCTGTCCTCTCTTTGGTAACAGACCCTACCCTGCCTGGCTGCCTACGTCAGTGCGGGGTAGGCTGAAGACCCTTCACAAGGTGCCCTGTGTCTGCCCGGGCCCCAGGAAGGCAGCCGCTGCTGAATTAAACGCCTGTGCTGCTTTAAGTCTGCAGGAGAGATAGAGGGGCTCTCCTAGAGCTGTGACAGACATGTTGGACTACAATCCCAAGGCTCTCTGGAAATTAATTTGTATGTATGTATTCTTTGCGTGTTTTCGTATCTTCACTATACTGAGATTTGAAAACGTGCTTTCTTGCCCTGACGTGGCCATCTGCAGCTCCCTCCATCCCCAGAACACTGCACTAGGCAGCGCCCTTGAGCCAGTGTAGTGATGTGTGCGTGCTTAGAAAGGGTCCGTGTGAGCGCGTCGACGTCTCCTGCAGTAATGGTGTCCGCTCTCCAACAGCCTGTGCACGTCCGGTGTGGTGCGGCTCCACATCAACAGCTGGCTGGAGGTGAGCTTCTGCTTGCCCCACAAGATCCACTACACAGCCTCCAGCCTGATTCCCCCCGAGGCCATTGAGCGGAGCCTGAAAGCCATCCGGTAAGAAACCCTCCTCCTGCCTTCTTCTCAAGACTCCACAGCTTCTTCTATCCCACAGTTCTTCTCTTCTTAATGCAAACAATTGTCAGGAAGTGCTCTACTGTTAAAAGCATGTTTTTGTTTTTTGTGGGTCCGGTCGTGGGGCCTGAACTCTGGGCCTGGGCGCTGTCCCTCAGCTCTTCAGCTCAAGGCTAGCTAGCTCTACCACTTGAGCCACAGCGCCACTTCCGGCTTTTTTCTTTTTGCTTATGTGGTTCTGAGGAATCGAACCCAGGGCCTAAGGCATGCAAGACAAGCGCTCTACCACTGAGCCACCTTCCCAGCCCCAAAAGCACATTTTTTGTATCTGGTTCTGTCCAGAAATGATCTGTCCTCGGTTTCTCCTGGGCCCTTCCAGACTGCTTTGCTGGGTGAGGCCGCTCCCTGCCAGGGTCTGTACCCCATGCTGAGCTGGGCCACTCAGGAGGCTGTGTGGCGTAGTGTGCTGAAAACCCCGGAGCTCACAGGAAGTGGCACTGTGGCTCAAAGTGGTAGAGCGCTAGCCTTGAGCAAAAGAGTTCAGGGACAGTGCCCAGGCCCTGAGTTCAAGCCCCACAAAAGAGAGGGGGAGAGAGAGGAGAGAGAGAGAGAGCTGTGTTGCCAGCGGCTCACGCCTGTCATCTTACCTACTCAGGATGCTGAGATCTGAGGATCGCAGTTCAGAGCCAGCACAGGCAGGAAAGCCCATGAGACTCTTATTTCAAATTAACTACCAGAAAACTGGAAGTTGTGCTGTGGCTAAGTGGCAGAGCTCTAGCCTTGAGCACAAAGAGGCTCAGGGACAGTGCCCAGGCCCAGAGTTCATGCCCCATAACCGACCAAAAAAAAAGAGAGAAATTATTATTATTACTTTTTTTTAATACCCATCTTGGGCACTGTCCCTGACCTTTTTTTGCTCAAGGCTAGTGCTCTACCACTTGAGTTACAGCTCCCCTTCCAGCTGTCTTGGTGGTTAATTGGAGATTTGAGTCTCGTGTGTGTGTGTGCGCACACGCACACGCACACGCACACGCGTGCGCGCCTGGAGCCAGGGTTGTAGCTCAGTGATGGAGCACTCGACTAGCAGGCATGAGACTCTGGTTCCATTCCCAATATCTAAAGGAAAAAGAAAGAAATGAGGTCCTGGCACATTCTAGAACATTTGGAAATCACAGAAGACAAAGCACTGACAGTTCCCTCCCCACCCCCACAATCAGCTCTCCGGGTCAGATGCTTTTCCTCCCGTTCTCCCTGCTCAGCGTATCTGTTTACGTCGTTGTGTTCTCAGTCTGTGCAGGGGATTCTGCTCTTCCTGGGTCTGGGACCATTACCTCAGGAGGAACTTTCACTCTTCTGCAGTTAGCAAACATACTAGTTGATCCCAGGGGTAGGATGTGGGATTGGTGAGGTATTCAGCTCTTCCTCTTGTGTTTTGTTCTAATTTCTTTTCCCTGGGAATAACAGTAATTCTTGTAAATTTTCTTTTAAAAAAGTAGTAGTCAGGTGCTGGTGGCTCACGCCTGTAATCCTAGCTACTTAGGAGGCTGAGATCTGAGGATCGTAGTCCAAAGCCAGCCCAGGCAGGAAAGTCTGTGAGACTGAGCTCCAATTAACCACCAGAAGAAAAGGAAATGACACTATGGCTCAAAGTGGTAGAGCAGTAACCTTGAGCAAAACTCAGGGACAGCATCCAGGCCCTGAGTTAAAGCCCCAACACAACATCAACAAAATTAGTACATATGAGTTGTACAAGGAGGATTTCATTGTGATATTGCGTATGTACATATAGTTTGTCCAGTTCACACTTACCTCTATCCCTTTCCTTTATCTGTGTGTGTGTGTTTGTGCGCATGGGCACATGCTGGTATTGGAGCTTGAACTTAGGGCTTGGACACTGCTCCTTAACCTTTGCACTCAGGGATAGCTCTCTACCACTTGAGCCACAGCTCCACTTTTTTTTTTTTTGTCTTTTCTTTTTTGGTACTGGGGATCGAACCCAGGATGTTGCACTTGCTAGGCAAGCGCTTTTGCCACTGAGCTACATCCCAGCCCTCCACTTTTTTTTTGTTTTTTGTTTTTTTTTTGTCGGTCGTGGGGCTTGAACTCTGAGCCTGGGCGCTGTCCTTCAGCTCTTCAGCTCAAGGCGAGCGCTCTACCACTTGAGCTACAGTTTTCTAGTGGTTTATTGGAGGTAAGAGTCTCACAGACTTTCCTGCCTGGGCTGGCTTTGAACTGTGATCCTCAGATCTCAGCCTCCTGAGTGGTTAGGATTACAGGCGTGAGCCACTGGTGCCTGGCTTCTGTGAGACTCTTATCTCCAATAAACCACCAGAAAACCAGAAGTGGCGCTGTGGCTCAACTGGTAGAGTGCTCGCCTTGAGTTGAAGAACTGAGGGACAGCGCCCAGGCCCAGAGTACAAGCCCATAACAAAACAAACAAAAAGCCGGGCGCTGGTGGCTCACGCCTGTAATCCTAACCACTCAGGAGGCTGAGATCTGAGGATCACAGTTCAAAGCCAGCCCAGGCAGGAAAGTCTGTGAGACTCTTACCTCCAATAAACCACTAGAAAACCAGAAGTGGCACTGTGGCTCAAGTGGTAGAGCGCTCATCTTTAGCTAAAGAGTGCAGGGACAGCGCCGAAGCCCAGAGTTCAAGCCCCACAACTGACCAAAAAAAAAAAAAAAGTCTCTGTGACTTTCCTGCCTGGGCTGGCTTTGAACCACGATCCTCAGATCTCAGCCTCCTGAGTAGCTAGGATTACAGGTGTAAGTTACTGGTGCCGGGCTTGGCTTTTTCCTTCTAGTTAGTGGGAGATAACGAATCTCACATACTTTCCTGATTAGTCTGGCTTTGAACCTCAGTCCTCAGATCTCAGCCTTCTGAGTAGCTAGGATTACAGATGTAAGCCATTGGCACTGCCTACTTCTTTATCTTAAAACAATTCTTTCCTTCTTAAAACAATATAAACAGATAAACAGTTCTTACTGTTCCACTTTCATACATGAAAATAAACTACTCTGACTCTCTCTCTCTCTCTCTCTCTCTATATATATATATATATAATTTTTTTTTTCTCCTTTTTGTTGGTCTTGGGGCTTGCACTCAGGGCCAGGGCACTGTCCCTGAGCTTTTTAATTCAAGACTAGTTTTCTACCACTTGAGCCACAGCGCCATCTTCTGGTGGTTAATTGGAGATAAAGGTCTCAGGGACTTGCCTGCCCCAGGGCTGCTTGGAATCCAAATCCTCAGATCTTAGCTCCTGTACAGCTAGGATGACAGGTGTGAGCCACCAGCATCTGCCTCATATTCATTCTTATTCATCACTGCTCCTGCTGGTACCCACTCCCCAAACAGCCTCTGCAGTTCTCAAGGCTCCGGGACACTAGATAAGCCTCTCTGATTCCTCCCTCAGCCTCTCCCGTCCACCATTCAGAGGCACACACCATTGACTTAACTCTGTTTCTCAGCCCGTACCATGCCTTGCTGCTCCTCAGTGATGAGAAGTCCCTGCTGGCCGAGCTCCCTGTTGACTGCTCCCCGGCACTGGTGCGTGTGATCAAGACCACGTCTCCTGTGAAGAACCTGCAGCAGCTCTCACAGGACGCTGATCTGGCCTTGCTGCAGGTAGGCCTCTGGGCCCCTGGATGGGCGGATAAAAGAGGTTCGGGGCATCAAAACAGGCAGCCCTCTGGGTGAAGTCAGGAGATATTGGGCATTGAGAAGGCAGGCTGCTAGCCCTGTTGCATGCCCAGGGCCCCCGACTGGCTGAGAGCTTCTTCGTGGACTGTAGCAAATGAGCGTGGCTCTTGGAGTGAGAGTTAAGTCTGGCCTTGTAAGCCACAGGAGCTCACTCCTCTGCTGAGGAGATATTAGGCACGCTGTGGGATAAAGGAGAGGGTTGCTTCCACGCTGAGCCTGGAGGAGGGATCCTCAGGCTGGGTGGGGTGGGTCGGGAGTGCAGGGCACTTAGGGTATCATAGCTGACTCCCATAGCTCATCCATAGCTCAGGGAGCCTCACAAGTAGCTCGTGGCCAAACACGTGGCGGGTGAAGTCCAGAAGCTTGCCTCAGCCTGAGCACAGCACTACGCTGTGTGTTCATACCCTGGCTTCGGCTGGCTGTTTAAATGCCTGCTTCTTGCTTTAGTGAAGAGGGAGAGGAGACGCAAAGAAGCTCCATCAGGGGTTGGGTTGCTCTGGGGTCATCTGTGCTGGGGCTGTGAGCCAGAGCCTGTGGATGGCCAGACCCATCAGACAGCCACCAGGGGGCAGCAGACCCACCCTGGGATTCAAATGCGGCCATAGCATGGTGCAGGCCTGCTTGTCCCCTTCTGGCGGTTTCTTGGTGCTTATGGGTCTGAGAGGCGGGTCTGGGAAGGGTGGTATGACCACGGTCTGTGCCTGGCAGACTCGCAAGCTGTTTTTACATGCCTTCTTTCAGAATAGGCGTTCCCTGCTGGTGGCTCAGGCTTGTAATCCTGGCTACTCTGGAGGCTGAGATCTGAGACTCAACTCAAGATTCAAAGCCAGCCTGAGCAGAAAAGCACCCAGATTATCTCAGATTAACCAGCAAAAAAAGCCAGAACTGGAAACGTGGCTCCAGCCTTGAGAGTGAGAGTATAGGGCCTGAGGTGGAGCCCAGCACCCGCACCAAAACAACAGGAAGATGAGGAGCCTCTTCCCTTTGAGAGCACTTGGCAGATTCTGCCTTTGTGTTCCAGCCTGGCTGCTGGGCTGGCCAGGATCCCGTGAGCAGAGCCTGTCCTCCTGCTCCGAGGCATCCAGACAGGGCCGTCCCGAACACCTTCGGAGTGAGAGCGGCCTTGTTCTCATGGGGAGGCCACGGGGGAGGCAGCCGTGAGCGTATTCACATCCTATGCCAACACTAGAAAGGAGCTGGCCACTTTCTATACTGTGAGACTGTCTGATGGGGTCTGTGCTGGGTGTGTGACTGTAAAGTCTCTTTGGACAAAGCGTTGATGTCCTTTGATGTTTCCTTCACTTCTCGGCCTTGGCCTTGCCTGGGGGTGGGGAGAGCTGTTTATTTTTTTATTTATTCATTTATTTTTTGTCTGGTTGTGATGGCTTGAACTCTGGGCCTGGGCGCTGTCCCTCAGCTCTTCAGCTCTAGGCAAGCGCTCTACCGCTTGAGCCATTGCACCACTTCCGGTTTTCTAGTAGTTAATTGGAGATAAGAGTGCCACGGACTTTCCTGCCTGGGCTGGCTTTGAGCCGCAATCCTCAGATCTCAGCCTCCTGTGTAGCTAGGATGACAGGCGTGAGCCACCAGTGCCCGGCTTATTGTTTCCTTTCATACCGTCCCCTACTGAGCTCTGTGCAGTCAGGGTTGGTACTGGGATGGCTGTGTGGAAGTCCCTGGGGCCCAACCTTGCTGGCTTATCTTGCCAGCCTCTGGGACTGCTGCTTTGCTCGATGTCCCTGTGGGGAGCATGGCCTGGTGGTCCTGGCCTTGTGGGGAACATCTGTATCAGTTACACATGCCACAAAATGACTTAAAGTTACTCGTGTCCATTTTAATCCAGAGAGTAGTAAAGTGTTGTTGTTACAATAAGTTCTGATGGGCGCCAGATCTCAGGAGGCTGAGATCTGAGGACTACAGTTTGAAGCCAGCCTGGGCAAGAAGGTGAGACTCTTTTCTTGTTTTGGTCAGTCATGGGGCCTGAACTCTGGGCCTGGGCGCTGTCCCTTTTCAGCTTAAGTCCTCTACCACTTGAGCCACAGCCTCACTTCCACCTTTTTCTGCTTCTGTGGTGTCAAGGGCCTCATTCATGCAAGGCAAGCACTCTACCACTGAGCCACCTTCACAGTCCCAAAAGTGAGTTTTGTTTTTTTTTTTTTGTCAGTCGTGGGGCTTGAACTCTGGGCCTGGGCGCTGTTTCTCAGTTCTTCAGCTCAAGGCGAGCACTCTACAACTTGAGCCACAGTGCCACTTCCAGTTTTCTGGTGGCTCATTGGAGATGAGAGTCTCAAGGGCTTTCCTGCCCTGGTCTGGCTTTGAACTGTGATCCTCAGATCTCAGCTTCCTGAGTAGCTAGGATGACAGGCCTGGGCCATGACACCCAGCAAGGTCTGGTCTTCTCGGCTTCCCTTTGCCTGTAGGTCTTCCAGCTTGCAGCTCACCTGGTGTACTGGGGCAAGGCTGTCATCATCTACCCACTGTGCGAGAACAACGTCTATGTCCTGTCTCCCAATGCCAGCGTTTGTCTGTGAGTATCACTGGCTTCCAGAGCCTGTAGTTGAGGGTAGGAAGGGAGGGACTTGGCAGGGCGGTACCCCTGTGTGGTCCTGTACCCGAAGCCCTAGAGCCCTGAGGCTGGGCTCTCGATTTCACCTTAATGCCCAGCCTTGGACATGCCCACATCTGGATTCCAGACTGGCTCAATGCTACACTGTTACTTGTCAGGATCCCCTTTCCTGGCTGAGATGAGAGGGACTTGGGTGGCTGGTGAAAAGGCATGGTCTTGCTCTGCCTAGCAGAGGTTGCCAGGATCCCTCGCTGCATCCTGTCCTCATCTGACTGTCCCGGCCTGCCCACCATCCCGTGATTCTCTGCAGCCCCCTGGGAGCCTGTGTCGAGAGCGGCCAGGGGTCAGCTGCCCACTGCTGTGTTCTTGTCCCAGGTACTCACCACTGGCTGAGCAGTTCGCCCACCAGTTTCCATCCCATGACCTGCCATCTGTTCTGGCCAAGTTTTCCTTGCCAGTCTCCTTGTCAGAGTTCAGGAGTCCTCTGGCCCCGCCAGCACAGGAGGTGAGTGACAGAAACCTCGGGAGTCGGCCTGCAGCCTGTGAGCTCAGGTACCACCTCCTGACTATCCTGTCCAAGAGGCCTTTCACACTGCCACCCCTCCTTGCCTGGTGCTGGCAGAGTTCTGTGCAGCTGCATGACCCGAAAGCCAGCTGTCAGGTGGCTGCCTGCACACACTTCACTCGTGACCAGTCTGTGTAGTCCCCTTAAAGGTGGAACTGAGGCTGGGTGCCAGTGGCTCACACCTGTCATCCTAGCCACTCAGGAGGCTGAGATCTGAGGATCTCTGCTCAAAGCCAGCCTGGGTAGGAAAGTCTGTGAGACTCTGATCTCCAGTAAACCACCAGAAAACTGGAAGTGATGCTGTGGCTCAAGTGGTAGAGCGCTTGCCTTGAGCTGAAGAGCCGAGGGACAGCACCCAGGCTCAGAGTTCAAGCCCCACGACTGACCAAAAAAAAAGAAAGTACTGAGTTAGCCTTGACCAGAGTGCGCTGGCCTCTCCTGGTCGGTTCTGCTTTCCCACAGATGGAGGGTGCGATGGTAGCTTCTTCGTCTGAGCCTGGGTCCCACATCCCAGGAGACCTTGGCGCCAGTCTCCTGGCTCCTTGGGGCTCGGCCTCAGGGCCCAGACTCTCCTTATCCAAAAGGACTTTTCAGTGGACCTTCCTGGGACTACTCCTGCCCGGTGTGGCAGGAGGTGGAGAGGGGGAGAATGACTTCTGTGGGTGGCTTCCCTGTGCGCTTTAAGGTTCTATTGTACAGCCTCTTCCTTGGTGAGAGGAACCTGCCCCTCCCTTCCACTGACTGCCGGACCAGGGGCAGAGCCAGGTAGGACAAGGGCTGGGGCAAACTGGCTGTTTTCACAGCCTTGTCTCCAAAAACAACATATGCCAGATCTCCTGAACTGAGTACTTAAAATTAAACCCTTTTCATCTCAAACTGTGAATGAGAAAAAGATCCTGGTTTTTCAGTTAATTTAGACCCTGAGTATGACAGAGCCTTTCATTTCTGGGCGCCGTGCCGGGTGGTACCAGCTGGATAAAGGCCACACTCTGCATCCGCTCTGTCTCTCCAGCTCCCCGTGGCTCTCGGGAGGGGCCAGCGGTGCTCCTGTCCCAGCACAGACTGCTCAGTTGTCTGGTTCGTGTGGGGTGAGCAGTCCAGGCCATGCGCGAGCAGTTCCTTAGGCCTTGCTGGGGGCTTGGACGCCCTGGCGTTGGTCCTGCCAACTCTGGGGGATGACGTGCTGTGCCGTGCTTACAAAGCTCCTGGGCCTCCTCCCTTCCCTCCCTTCTCCCTCTTTGCTTCCTTTCCCTTCGTCCCTTCCTTCCTTCCCTTCTCTCCTTTATTAGCATACATTAGTTGTACAAGAGGGACTTCACTGTGACATTTGCACACACACACAAATATCTATGTATTCTGATCACACTCATTCCCTAATCTCCCTTACCCATCCCCCTTCTTTTTAAAACAATTCTGGCATATTTCATTGTTTTCATACAAGCAAATAAACTACTGCAACTGTATGTACCATTCACCCTGTTTCCCTTCCCCTCCACTGGTACCTCCGTTCAAGAGAATCTGTTTTGCTCTTAAGTGTGTATAGTTGTGCCAAGGGTTTTTATCATGTAGTTCAGCCATGCATGTTGTATTTTGCTCAGAACCATCTCCATGGCTTTCTCTGTCTTCCATCCCCCTATTCACGGTTTCATTGAGACTCCTTATTGCTTTCTTCACACACAGATGCAATACATTTATGTTATTCACCCTCCGTCTTTCTGCTCTCCTCCCCCTAAATCCCCCAGGCAGCGTCATGTTCCTTGTGTTCCATGTTACGCGTAGATAGTTTGTCAGCCTCTGGTTGTCTTGGGTTTGGCCAGGGTTAGTATATGCAGCCTCAACCCCACTCCCTTCTGGGCAGTGACTGGGCAGCGGTCCCTCCTAGACCCGAGGTGAGACCATTGGTGCCCTCCGACCGACCGTGAGGAGCTGGGTTAGATGTCAGCCCCCTGCATGCCTCTGGGAGGGAGGGCAGGAGGTCCCTGTCCCTAGTTTTCTTCTGAGACCACCTGGGTGTCCGGGGCTGACTTGAAGGCAGACCCAGAGAGAATCTTCTGCTCACGGGCAGCTGCCTGCAGCTTTTTTCTGAGCAGTGTCTGGGCTTGTCCAAGAGTGCATTGGGGTCCGGGAGGGAAGCATAGTGGGTGACTGGAGGGGAGGCCAGCTTGGAGAAGTGGTGGGAGCGAGTGGAGGTGGGATCCGGGGGCCCTCCTGGCCCTGCCTTTCCTGAGGCGTGGCCTTGAAGAGCTGGCCAGCGTCCGGGGCTCCTTGGCCAAGGTGAGGGCCTCCTGCTTAGGAGTTGGCACCAGCTGGTTCTACCTCGGACATCGGTTTCCTTGTCCCCAGGAGGGAATTGTGTTGGGGTGAGGAAACTGGCTCAGCCCGACCTCCTGTTCCTCACGCAGACCCAGCTCATCCAGATGGTGGTGTGGATGCTGCAGCGCCGGCTCCTCATCCAGCTGCACACCTACGTCTGCCTGATGGCCTCGCCCAGCGAGGAGGAGGCCCGCCTGCGAGAGGAGGACGTGCCCTTCCCCGCCAGAGTTGGCGGCCGCAGCCTCAGCACACCCAATGCCCTGAGCTTCGGCTCCCCAAGTAGGGTCCCCTTCAGCCCCAGTCCGGTAGTGAGGGAAGTCTGGGGTGGTGGCCAGGAAGCCTGGACGGGCACCTACCTGTCCACACGTGTACACGTCCCTGTCTCCCTGTACCACCGTGGCTCTGAGACGGCGGCTCTTCCGCAGAGCATGACTGGAGTTAGGAGCAGCCTAACCACCATCACAGACAGTTGAGACCCTCTCCGTCTGCTTTCTCTGAGACCCTGTGTCTCAGACAGCAGTGTTGCCATGACCCAGGCCTTTGGCTTGGGGAAGACGAGGGCCTGGTAGGTGTTTCTTGGCCTGAAGTCTGGTGTTGGGCTTTAGGCTGTATGCAAGACACCTACCTACACAGGGTGCTCTGCTCCCCTGACCCCGCCCTTCTCCCCATGAGGTGCTGGGCTCCACCCAGCATGGCTCTAGGTTAGATGTCAGCCCCCCCACCCCCACCCCCCTCACAAGTCTAGCTGTGCCTCAGACCTGAGCCAGGGTCCCTGTCAGTACTTGTCTCCTGAATTGACCTGGCTGAGGCTAAGGAACCCAACCTTGCCTTGGGTGTAGGACGTGCAGCATGGCTACAGAGGGCAGCTCCTTGGGTCCCAGGCCTGCCACATAGGAGGACACACACCCAGGGATGCAGGCAGAAGGTTCAGGTAGAGTAACAGGAATCCTTGCTCTCTGACCTGTACCTCCCCTCCTCCCTCCCCCCTCCCCCCCCACAGCCAGCAGTGATGACATGACTCTCACCAGTCCCAGCATGGACAACTCCAGTGCAGAGCTGCTCCCCAGTGGGGACTCCCCACTGAACAAGAGAATGACGGAGAACCTGCTGGCCAGTCTGTCAGAGCATGAACGGGCAGCCATCCTCAGTGTGCCCGCAGCCCAGAACCCCGAGGACCTCCGCATGTTTGCCAGGTGGGGGAAGAGGGTGACGGGGGGGGGGGGTTATGCCCAATTCCAGGGTCCTGAGAAAGCAAAAGGGGACATAGGTACATGTACATTCACGGTGGGGGAGGTGTGTTGAGCGCTCTCCTGGGGCAGAGATCCAGGCTTGGATGTGGATCTGTCACTGACTAAGAGGCAGCAGCTCTGAATTCTCACCCACAGGGGACTTGGGAGCAGTTATAGGCTTAGGATGCCCATATGGTGGCCTAATGGTCTGTCAAACTCACCCTGCCCAGGAAGGGTCAGGGTGCTGCATGTTGGCCTTCAGTGTGACTATGCCCCAGGCATTATGGACTATCTGCAGCTCTTCCAAACAGCTGGTCCAGGATTTTGTGCCAGCCTTAGCTGCAGAAAGCCCCCTGGAGCAGGGTCCCTGCCACAGCAGCACAGAAAAGCGTCTCGCAGCCCCCTGCCTGTCAGGTCGCTGGCTTGGGCATCCCTGGTGGGAGCAGCAGTGCCTCACGGGTTCATTTCAGGCTCTCTGCTCATCCCTGGGATACTACCAAGGCACGGGGACACACGTGTGTGTGTGTGTGTGTGTGCACGCGTGAGTGTGCATGCCTCCATCTCTGCTGAGTTGATCCTCACCAGTGGTGGTGGGCCTCCGTGGGGCTGCCTGTGGGCCAGGCTCACGCCACCCTCTCTCCTCCAGGCTCCTTCACTACTTCCGAGGCCGCCACCACCTGGAAGAGATCATGTACAACGAGAACACACGGCGCTCCCAGTTGCTTATGCTCTTTGACAAGTTCCGTAGCGTCCTGGTGGTCACCACCCACGAGGACCCAGTCATTGCTGTCTTCCAGGCACTGCTCACTTGAGACCAGGCAGGGCAGGGGCTGCACACACATGTCATGAACTGGCACCTCCATTCGGGGTTCTCTCATTGTGGGACCCTGAACCTGCTTCTCTAAGGCCTGGCGTTGAGGACAGCCATCCCTGGCTCTGCTCACTGAAGTCCTCCAGACCCCGGTGTGTCTGCTTCCTTGCTGTGGGCTCCAGTCAGGGTCAGCAGTACTCTTCCAGTCCTTGGGCATCACTGAGTTGAATTGGAGGGACACACAGAGGCTGTGCCTTTCTAACCTTGGCTGTCTTTGCTGTCTTTTCACCATCTACCCTGGAGAATGGGAGGAAACATTTGCCCATCCTTGCCCATCGGACAGCCGTGGCAGCATATTAGGTCTGAGCACCAGGCCGACCCAAAGCCAACACCACCTCCGTTCACCACGCTCTCCCTTTCTCCCATCCCACCATCAGTCTTTCTTGCCTAGTATTACCACAGCACTACATAAACCACCAGCAGGCTCGCCGAGCTACCTCCCTGTCCTGATCATCTGAAGGACAAGGGCATGGGCTGGCCCAAGTGAGCTTGAGTAGCCCTGTCACTCAAGGTCAGCCTGTGGCGGGGTAGCCTGACTGGCAGCACAGAACCCTGGACCTGGGTGTGTGCGTGTGCACACTGGGGGTCCTGTCCTGTCCTGCAAGCACTGGCTGAAGATACGCTCATCTGTCAGCAGGGGCCTATCTGAAATGTAGGCAAACGTTCCCTAGAAGCAAATATTTATTTGACATTTAAACAATTAAAAAATCTTGTCTGAGTAGGCTCTACGTCCTGGCCTGTATCTCCTGCTCGGCCACTTTGTCCACCACACTGACCCAAGGGCAGCCCCGGATATAGAAGCGCAGGGGCCTCTTTGTCCACTCCCCTGCCTGACCAATGCCCACACGGGCTGCTGCCACTACAGCGGGTCCACTGGGCTGCAGGGACCCACACTCCAGCCACAGAGCCCCATCCTGGGCCAGGTCCCGCTGGTCAAAGCTCTTGTCAATGGCCAGGGCCTGGCACAGCTTGGAGGGGCCATTGCAGAGCTCCCGGTCTTTGATGGGGCGGCCGGCAGCACCCTTCCGGCGCGCGCCGCGAAGCTGTCTCATGGACTCCAGTCCTTCTAGGGGCTCTAGTGCTCGCAGCAGGACACAGGATCCATCTCCTGTGGGACAGAGACACAGCTTGAAAAACAGATTCCCCACCCCTCCCTGCGCCAGCATGCTCCCAGTTCTGCAGGAGTCATGCAGTGGCCTTTCTGCATGTGTATCTGCACTCGCTGCTTCTGGGTGCACCCTGGCAGGATTTTGGACACTCTCTGAGCTTTCTTACTCAAGGCTAGCACTCTAGCATTTTGAGCCACAGCGCCACTTCGGGTTTTCTGGTGGTTAACTGAAGATGAGTCTCACAGACATTCCTGCTCAGGCTGGCTTTGAACCATGATCCTCAAATCTCAGCCTCCTGAGGAGCTAGGGTATTACAGGTGTGAGCCACAGGTGCCCAGCAGGATAGATCTTCTACCTGCCTCCCCTTGTCTCCATATCTGCATTCACAAGGCAGCTGAGCCTTCTCTAAGAGCCTCTGGCAGGCAGCAAGACCTCCACCATTGCATCATGTAACCAACACTTAGCTGTAGAGACTTAAACACGGTGAGTGCTCAGCAGCAGCCTCCTCTGTAGCTTCCTGCCTTCCCCTGGTCCTGTAATCGCCGGTAGCTGTGCCCCAGCAAAAGAAGCCCAGAGAGCAAGGACTGCCCACTTCCTCAGGGTAGGGTTACCCTGGCCGGTTCCTGGGGGCTCCCCGCCTGCCACGCCCCTCACCCCCCCCCCCCCCCCCCCCCCCCCCCCCCCCCCCCCCCCCCCCCCCCCGGCCAAACTGGCTCATGGAGAGCAGCAGCCAGTGAATACGTGCTGGGAGAGCCCTATCTGTGACTCTGAGGAGAGGACACATGGCGGCAGGAGGTGCCTCAGGGCCCAGCCTTCTATCAGACTGGACTACTTCATGGGCTGACACTCTTGGGCCTAACGGCCTTACAGTGACAGACACCCCAATTCTTCCTGCCCTGTGTGTCTGGAAAGGCCCTCAGGCTTCCTGGCTGAAGACTGACAGCCTGGGCCCTGGCAGAGCAACCCTGACTCCAGTACAGCTGCTCTCCTGGGACACTCCCTGCCACTGGCCTGTGCGGCTCTGGCTGCCGAGGTCCTGGGAGTCACCTGTTAGTCCCTGCTCTTGGGCCTTGACTACAAGGTTGTACCTTGTCCCAGTGCCTGTCCAGGGTGGACAAAGCCATGTTCTCCAGCCCAGCTTGCACCTGGCAAACAATAGGTTCTTCTAAGTACACGCCACTCAGCTGGCCAGTTTTCAAATGCAAGATAGAATCGACAGCAAGCAAAGCATGAAGCTCCTGGGCTTTTGCCCTTGCTGCTCTCAGCTTCCCACCCGATTCCCTGTGTGCCCAGTGAGGACTGCAGCGGGGCAGGTCCCAGGCACTGTGAGTGTGCACCTGCCCCTTCTGTCTCCCTGCCCTCCCTGCTCCTGAGCCACCTGGGAATGGGCACAGAAGAAGCTTCACCTCACCGGGCGCTGGTGGCTCACGATCCTAGCTACTCAGGAGGCTGAGATCTGAGGATCGAGATTCAAAGCCAGCCCGGGCAGGAGAGACCGTGAGACTCCTATCTCCAATAAACCACCAGAAAACCGGAAGTGGCGCTGTCGCTCAAGTGGTAGAGCGCTCGCCTTGAGCTGAAGAGCTGAGGGACAGCGCCCAGGCCCAGAGTTCAAGCCCCACGACCGACAAAAAAAAAAAAAAAGCTTCACCTCATCATTACCCCTGCTCTCTTAACTCGATGGAACAGCTCCATCCTTACCAAGCCGATCCTTACCAAGCCGTCTCCTGTCCTCTGTAGCCCTCAGTGCTCACGCTCTTAAATCTAAAGTGGCTCTTGGCCCCCGTGTGTGCTGCTCATACTCCCTGAGCCAAATGGATGCTCCTAGAGCATCTGGTCACATGTTCACATGCCAGACCATGAGCCCCTGCTGGCATCCCCGAGCATCTGGTTCAACAGGCTGAACGTTCAGCAGACCAACGCTGGGATGGGCCAGCTGGACTTTGCTCCTTCAGCAGGATGCTTTGGCCTCAGACCCTGCCCTGTCTCCTGTACCTGGCACCGAGCTACGTGCTCACTGGGCTCCCCTCTGGAACCGCAAGCACGTGGGTAAGCCCTCACAGGTGCACTGAACCTGTGTCTCCACTCATGATATCCAGAGTCAGAATTCTGCGGTGGCAGCTGTCCTGGGCACTGTGGGGTGGCTGTCAGCACCCCCTATCTCCTAGATGACAGAACCCCCAAACACTGCCCAAGAGAACTGTCCCTGGGTGAGAACTGATGGAGACCTCAAAATAGACTAGCGAAGCTCTGGGGTAAGCTCCCATTCCCTACCACACCAGCACTCAGCTCTGCGCTGAGACAAGTGGTAATGTTAAGGGCATAGTGCACTCTGGAGCCCCTGACCCCTTGAAATATCCTTGGCCTGTAACAAGCAACCAGAATACCTGGTACTGTGACCTGGCCCTGGAGCGGCACTCCCTGCCTACCTCCCCTTGTCTTCCTCTGGGGGTCCCTCAGGCACCAGTCCTTTGCTCGCCCAAGTCCAGTGCCACTAACCTTGGCTGGAGACATTCATGCAGAAGTACATGCCATAGATGATGTACACATATAGAGTCCCCGCTTTCATGAACATGCTGCGGTTGCGGGGGGTCTGCCGGCCACCCCTCGAGTGGGCTGCTTCATCCTCTGGCCCCACGTAGGCCTCTGTCTCCACTATGCGGCCACGAAGCTCTGTGCCATCGGCAAGTCGTCGGACAAGGACCTGTGGGCAGTCCCTCTGTTCAGGGCCATAGGGACAGGGTCCACCCCAGCTCAGACCCCCTGTAGGCTCAGGAGATGTGCCAGGTGTCTAGGCACAGGGGGCCTCCCACCCACCTGTCTTCTCCATGCTGCTACTTGTGCTGGCATGGAGCCTGAAAGCTGCTGAGGCCAGGCTGGCACTCTACCCTTTGAGCCATACCTCCACTTCCAAGGCCACCAATCTGCCTGGCCACCACATTGTAGGTCTCGCTCACTAAGAGTCCTGACCACAGGTTGTCATCTCAAACTTCAGCCAGAGGTTAAAGATTCTTGGAAGTTCACTGTTCACTGAGTCTCTACTTTTCCATCTCCTCTCAGGATTCCCTTGAGAACCATGCTCAGCATGAAGCCAGGCAGTGTAGAAGGGACGGGGACCCTACTCAACCACCTAGGGAATTCCCAGTCTCTGTCATGTCCCCAGTCTCTGCTGTCAGAGCAGTCCCAAGCTGGGTGCCAGTGGCTCACACCTGTAATCCTAGCTACTCAGGAGGCTGAGATCTGAGGATCCCGTTTCAAAGCCAGTCCTGGCAGGAAAGACTACGAGACTCTTACCTCTAGTTATTTACCACATGGCTCGAGCAGCGGTACAGAGCTAGCCTTGAGCTGAAGAGCTGAGGGACAGCACCCAGGCCCAGAGTTCAAGCAACCACAACCAACACCAACAACAAAAAAAGATAAAGGTGAACTAGATGGTGGTGGCTCACACCTGTAATCCTAGCAACTCAGAAGGCTGAGATCTGAGGATCATGATTTGAAGCCAGCCTGGGTCTCCAGTTAATCACTAGAAAACTGGAAGTGGAGCTGTGGAGAGCACTAGCCTTGAAGAAAAGGAGCTCGGGAACAGTGCTCAGGTCCTGAGTTCAAGCCCCAGGATCACCAACAACAAACCCAAGCCAGGCAGGAAAGTGTGACACACTTTTATCACCAATTAACCACAAAAAGCCTGAAGTGGACCTGTAGCTCAAGTGGTAGAGTGTTAGCCTTGAGCAAAATGCTCAGGGTTGGGATGCAAGCCCCAGAGCTAGTTAAATAAATAAATGAATAACAGGGCTGGGAAGATGGCTCAGTGGTAGAACGCTTGCCTTGCATGCATGAGACCCTGGGTTCGATTCCTCAGCACTACATAAGCAAAAAGAAAAAAGCCAGAAGTGGCGCTGTGGCTCAAGTGGTAGAGCACTAGCCTTGAACTGAAGAGCTGAGGGACAGTGCCCATGCCCAGAGTTCAGGCCCCACGACTGGACCCCCCCCCCAAAAAAAAGAAAAACAAGTGGACCACGAAGGTCTGGCTGTGCTTTGGCACCTGTGGCGCTTCAGACAGACCCAGCTAACTCTGGCTGTGTACACAGGCTAACAGGTTGGGCCTTCGCACTTCCTGCCTGCCTGGCATAGCTCAGATCCTCACCCTGTACTGAGCTGCCTCTGGGGAAACTGCTTGCAGGGAGGGAACTGTCCCAAGCAATGCTGATGCTAGCAAAGCCCCGGCAGCCACCTTCAGTCCCGCGGGCCTGAAATGAGCGCATGGTGTCAAGTGGACAGGCCCAGCCAGGGCACCAGCTGTGTGAGCAGACGACACGCAATGGACTGTGGTCTCTGCAAGTGGCCTTTCCTGAGGAGGACCCCGGGTGGGAGAGGCTGAGGACGCGGCGGCTGCCGTCATTGCCAGGGCAGGAGCCATTACTGGTCTCCTTTTTCTTTCCAGTGACCCCAGATAACGGGGACCCAACTATCCAGGAACTTTTGCGTGAGCGCTAGTGAGGCGCACCTGGGCAGCAGTCCCCCGGGGGCGGATGTTACCTGTCCCAGAAATGCCCGGGCGAGGGGGACTGCTGGCTGGTTGAAAAACTCCGTCCCCAGCCGCACACCACGCTCCTTGGGACTGGAGAAGTAGACGCTGCGCCGGAGGCCCGGGGCCCGGGGAGGGGAGGCCCGCAGGGTGTCCGCTGGCGACCGCGGCTCTCCCGCCTCTGCCGGCCGCTGCTGCCTTTTTTGCCGGGTCTTCGGAAAAAGCTGAAACCGGAGGGGAAACGGATCTCTAGGTGGGGAAGGCCCGGGGTGTGCTCGCGGGGGCCTGCCTCGGTTTCCCCGTCTGCAGCGGGCGGGCAGCGCCCACGCCACAAGTAGTCACCAAGCCGGGGCGGC